CCCCAAAACCCCAAAACCCCATCATGCCATTAGATTGGCTGATTAAATTATAGAAATCAAATAATGAACATCTTTTTATAATATAGTATTATATATGAGTAATTAAGCGACTAAAGGAGTTAGCATTGGTGCGGGAGACTCTGATGATGATGAATTTGGAAGAATCCCTTCTGCTGCAGATGTTCAGAAGACTAACACTGTTGAGATTATGCCGAACTAGTTTGGATATGATGATAGCGACGAGGAGGAAGAGACCAAAGATATGGGTACTGATTATGATCCCCCGACAAGAACATATGGCATTGAGGAGTATACTATGTCTGATGCTACAATGAAACTATTTGAAAGAGAATTAGGATAAACTTCTTAACTCAGATAAGAATCTAAAGCCCCAGCTAAAATGATGCAAACATTTTCTGGCTAAACAACTGAAACCACAACTGAGACTTTAACAGTTGGAGTAGAAGTATAAATCAATACAAATAAACAAGAAAAGGAAGAGAGAAAAGGGAGAAAGCATAAGAAAGATAAGAAATGGCATGATAAGAAAGTTAAGAGAGAAGATGATTGGGCCACAGGAACCAATAGGAAAATTGATCCTAATTATATTCTTGAGATTAAATAAAACTAGGAATTTGAGACATACTATAGAGAAGCTAACATTCTGCCTGCTGAGGAATTCGATAAGTTTTATCAAATACTTAAAGAGCCACTAGACATATGCTTCAGAATAAATAGTGTTGAGTAAGTATCTATATTAAGTATTTATGATCTTTCAGCAAACACTTTGAGAAGACTTAGCAAGAGATTGAAGATTTAGTATAGAAAATGAAAGGTATCGATGAGCTTAAAGATAAATATCCTAAAAAACTTCTCTGGTACCCAAATAACTTAGCCTATACATTTAATGAATGCAGCAGAGGTGAAATGAGAGCAAATCCACTGCTTAAAGTAAAGCATTGTTACTAATATTATTATAGAACTTCCATCAATTCTTGATATTGGAGACTGAGATGGGAAGAATATTCAGATAGGAGGCAGTTTCTATGATTCCAGTCACACTCCTTAATATTGAGCCTCATCATTCAGTTATTGATGTCTGTGCTGCTCCTGGCTCAAAGACTATTCAAATTCTAGAGCAATTGCACTAGGCTCATGAAAAGATTCCAAAGGGATTTGTTATTGCTAATGATACTGATTAAAAGAGAGCATATCTCCTAACTCATTAAGCTAGAAGACTAAATTCTTCAGCTTTGTTCATCACTAACAATGATGCAAGATTCTTACCTTACTTAAAGATTGATGAGCACAACAACAATATGAAATTCGATAGAATATTATGTGATGTTCCTTGCTCTGGTGATGGTACTCTGAGAAAGAATTTGGCACTTTGGAAAAATTTCAACTCTCATTTGGGTCATTCTTGCCATCCTCTTTAATTGCACATTCTTGAAAGAGCATTTTAGCATCTTAAGAAAGGAGGTAGATTAGTCTACTCAACTTGCTCTTTCAATCCTATTGAGAATGAAGCGGTAGTTGCAGCAGCTCTGTCTAGGCATATTAAATAAATGGAACTAGTGGATGTATCGAAAGAAGTCAGTCCTCACTTGAAATACAGACCAGGGCTAGTTAACTGGAGAGTATATCATAGAGGAAAGGGTAAAAGGGAAGGTCCTGCATGGTATGAAACTTATGACAAAGTTCCTAACTACAAAAGAAAGGTTATTAAAGAGACTATGTTTACTGATACCTACACAATGTTCAATAATGAGACTGACAGGCCAGACGACATGAAAAGTGATCCATTAAACCTGAGAAGATGCTTAAGATTATTCCCTCATGATAATAACTAGGGAGGATTCTTTGTAGCAGTCTTCACTAAAGTACTTGATGAGCACGAAGGTTTCATTTATGATGACATGTATTAAATGAATGCTTGGGATGACCCCAGAGTGAAACAAAAGCCAATTTTGGATGATATTAGAGAATTTGCAGAAGAATTTGAAAAGGATCTCAAGATTCATGAGGAAAAGAATAATGTACCTCAAGAATTAAGCTAATAAAATCAAATACTCTCAATAGTTAAGGATGCTTAGGATCAGTAGAAGCAAGCTATGAAAGACTCGGGTATTGTATTTGGAAAAATGTCATAAATTTATGATAACAAGGAGCATCTATTCCCATTTGAAAAGCTTCTTGAGACAAAGCAGGATCTGTGGGTTAATTTGCAATTGTTTTATGGCATTAATGCTGAATTCCCTTGTGAAAATCTCTATTTCCAGAAAGATACCACAAATTGCATTGCGTTTGTGAGCGAGGGTCTAAGTTAACTGATGAAATGCTAAAGAAAGCATAAATTGAAAGTTGTGAATTTAGGTGTAAAATTATTCAGCAAAAATAGAGACATAAAATCACCAGGAAAGTATCGTTTGTTATAAGAAGGACTAGAACTACTTATGCCGTATATGAATGATGAAAGAAAAATTTAGGTTTCCAAACTATTACTAGCTCAATTCCTTGACAAGATTAATTTCACATTTGAAGAGTTAAGAAATATGGGTCATAGTCAATTTGAGGGCAAGGAACCAGGAAGTGCTGTGATTACCAGTGGAGATTTATATGTCACCATTTGGATTGGTGTTAACAATGTTTCACTAATGATTGGCAAAGAGGAAATTAAGTCATTCAAGTTCCTGCTCATTAATTAATGACAAATACATAATAGTAGGCAATGTGACTGCAAAATAATTAGATGATCTTTGATAGCCTTTTTATTTATTAATTTCATTACTTTGCTTTAAAATTATGACTAGCGGGGTTTTGGGGTTTTGGGG